ACACAACCCCAGACTTTATTGTCTGTCTGTGCAGCTTAGTGCACGCTGAAGGGTGAGTCAATAGGGAATAACGCTCTGCTCTGCTCAGACAGCACAGTCATTAGCTCAAGCCATCCCTTCCGTTACCCAGTTCCAGGGCAAGAGGGGAAAATTTGTAAGCATGAGAAGAAAACAACTTCAGATTTTTGTGAAGGTTTCTGAATGTCACAGTGGTCAGAGAGGTTTCCGAGGGGGATTTTTCTGTAAATTCTTGGCTCTGTAATAAGTGCCTTTGAAGAAGACCAACCACATACACACAAACCCACCCCCACCCAGCCGGCCCCCAGCGCAACGGAGCGTCCCTGAGGAACGGGGTGGGAGCTGAAGGCCCCGCGGCCTGCAGAGAACGGAGCCGCGTTAGCAGACACGACCACCAGACTGCAGGCCAAAGCTCATTTCTGGCCAGCTCAGGGAATTCTACCTGCTCTCCTGCTTTTACAAATGCCTTATCTTTGGCAAAACGAGCTGGCTGTTTACAACTGCAGGCAGCTTCTGAAGAGACAAGTTTACTGCTTTCTTTACCTACAAGAGGCATTAAAGGCATTGGAGCGTTATATGAACCTTTGGTGTGTCTGTAATACTCAGTACAAGGCATGGTCTGCTCCTCCCTTCCATGTTTCAAAAATATATATAAAGACTGAGAAAGACACAGACAAAAATAATGAGCACGAAGAAACGACAAAGTAAATGAAGACTCTTCAGGACAGAAGAGCAGCAACTAAGACTGAATATGATAGAAGTCCATAAAAACAGAGAGAGGGGAACAGTGATTTATTTTACACTCTCTCTTATGATGTAGGAACCAGAAGCATCACCTGAAATGAAGGAGGCACAATGAAAACATGTAAGAGGTGTTTCTCTAGATGGAAAAGTTTATGACAAGTTGGACATGTAAATCACAAGTTTCTTTAGAAAGTCATGGAAGTGAGACAGGTCTCAGTGCTTTACTAAAAATTTATAATTCTCTTAAAAAAAAAAACAAGTAGGCTTTGAGAGTCTGAGAATTATTACTGCAGGAAACACAGCACACACTACTACGGTAATAAATACATTCTTAAAGATGAAACACTTGTGACTTGGTGTTCACTCCTTTCCCTCAGAATCCATCGGTCTGTCACCCACCAGCATGATAAACCAGCAAGGTGTTAAGGTGGTAGATGTCACATGCTGTGTGTTTTGCAGTGAAACATGAGCCTGACAGAAATTCTTGCCCTTTTCCACTCGCATTGTTTATTGAGGCTATTTTGATGATGCTCTGGTCTTGGACTTGCTCTCTGCTAGGCCCTTCTTGTCCAGTACACCCCTGCAGCCAGACAAAAAAGTAAAATCTTCCGTTCCTATTTGGCCTGCTGTTATTCTATGCTGCTGCATACACAACACATTCTTTGGTAGAGCAGTTGGTTGGTAGCAAGACATCATCACTCTCTCGTGGGAGCAATGGGAGCAAACGGCCCAAGGCATCACCTGTCCCTCTGTTTTGTGGTAACTGAGACACGGTTATTGTGTTAATAACCACTTATGACTTAATAAAATTCGACCTTGCACAGAAATACCAGGCCAGGTTGCTTATACCTATTGAATGGGATAAGAACAGAAAGGTTAAATGCATGGATAACAAGTTCGAGAAATGATTGTGTTTTTGCAAGCACCTTTTGCAAGTGTTTATGCCCCTATGCTGAAGGCATCCATACTCTACGACCATCCATTCAATGTCTCTTGGCAGTGCAAAACACTAGAAATGATGAATAGCAGGAAGAATCATTACACTAGAAAAAAATCAGAAAAATATACAGTTACCACACTCATTGAATTGCATTGCTTTTGTGTATAAATACCAAAGTGTCCCCTCTGCATCTGTTTGTACTCTCCCCACTCATGATTTCCAACAAGGAAAGGAGCTGTGAGTAATGATCTTCCTTCCCTAATCTCGAGTTCTACTTGTACAAGTAACAAGAAGGAAAGGTGATGATATGTTTTGTTGCATTGTGCATCTACAAGGCAACAAAAAGCTCTTTAAAGACACAAACAGCATCAGTCTTCTTTTCAGGCAAAAAAAAAAAAAAGTCCTAGAGATCATTGCTCCTGCAGGCAAAACTGAACTATTTATTTATTTATTTACCTACATAACGGGTCAGGTCATTGCAAATCAAATGGATTGGCAAAACTGAACCATCTCAAGTGCCAGCTCAGCTACTTTCTATTATTGTTTAGTTATTTATTAGCTTAGTATTAGCACTAGTACTCAAGGTGATTTTTTTTTACCTTTAAAAACACCACCTCCACCCCCATGGCATTTCCTAGTCAATGTTAACTATTCCCAGAGTCTCAAACTATTCTAAATTAAAAACAACAACAACAACAACAGCAACAACAAAAAACTTCTGTAAACTTTTGAATACACAGTAAATCAGGAAGGCCAGAAGGAAAACATTTCTCTCAGATTTGTAATGCCTGCAAAATAGAATATGGACAGAAGATCAATAACACTCATTAGAGCTTTATCTACAGCTCAGCTCTAAAGTGACACTAAACACAAACTTTACGTGATGCTGGATGAGACTGGTCAGAAAATCTAGCAAAGAACGTACTGACTCATCTGACAACAAGACATAAGGAGAGGCCAGAAAAAGAAAAGCCTCAAAGGGCAGAAATATCATCTACCGAATAATCACAGATATCCTTCTGTAAACTGCATGTTTACAGTTTGCCTGCATCTACTGATTTCATGCTACTTTTTTCATTTTGCAAGTTCTTTCTTTGCTTTCTCTGCGATTCCAATATACTTTTCCTTCATACAGTAACAAAAACCTGATGCAGAAATTACTCTGGACCTCTGTGGACTGTTAGAATAAGAGAACAGAATTAAAGCCACATACCTGGTTGACATAAATTTGAATGTGGTGCATATGCCATACAGGGATGATAACACTTTCCTTAAGACACTCAAAGACAGGTGGTCAACAAGTACAAAGAGACAGGTTAACGATGCCAGGAATTAAAGCTTTTCTAAAAAGCCTATTAAGAAACCCAAGTAAGATGGGAAATAAGGTTAATATACAAACAATTTTCACCATCAGTGAAAGATTCCAAGTCAAAGATCAAGCAAATAAGGTCCAGTTTGGCTCTACAAATCTTGTCTCCCCTTTCTATATCCTGGAGCCAGGGAAGGAACTCAGTAATACAAATTTGTTATAAAATAGCTACTTTAAGCTCTTAATCCATTCTCCTCCCTGCTTTATAAATCAAGCTGACATTTATGAAGAAGTGTAGGATTTATAAAGAAGGTAAGGTGTAGAAACTACTGCCTTAATAGAGTCAGCTTGTTATTATCTTGCATAATGAAGTGCCTGGCAATCCCAAATAGCAGAATGCTCAGAGGATTATTGCTGAAGCACGGAGTGAGCACAACTGCACTGGGTCCCTGCAATGCCACCAGCATCTCCTCTGCGGTGCATGTCATATTCATGGTGAGGGAGGCCAAACTTGAGCTGCCACTGCACACTTGGCGTTTGCCTATTTCACAGAATGGTTGAGGTTGGAAGGGACCTCTAGGGATCATCTAGTCCAACCCCCTGCTCCAGCAGGGTCACCTAGAGCACGTGGCACAGGGCGGCATCCAGGCGGGTTTGGAAGATCTCCAGAGAAGGAGACTCCACAGCCTCTCTGGGCAGCCTGTGCCAGGGCTCTGTCACCCTCACAGGAAAGTTCTTCCTCACATGGAGGTGGAACTTTCTGTGTTTCAACTTGTACCCATGAGCCCTTGTCCTGTCCCTGGCCACCACTGAGAAGATTTTGGCCCATCCTCCCTACACTCTCCCTCAGGTACGCAAGTTATTAAAGGCCAATATCAGAGCAGGTCAGCACTGAAGGAGACCAGACAAGCTTTAGGCAGATGGGTACCGGCCATAACGTTGTAAGCCTAGTCCTGAGACCACTCTGCTGGCTTCAGTTTATGCCATCTGAAAACCTCTATACCCCACAAACGCATGGACCTGAGTTAGGCCTGGGAACATAAAATATCCTGGCATAGTATTGCCATCAACACCACACCTTGATTGAATATTAGTGGTAGCAGAACCAATCACCAACGTCTGCATGGAAGGCAAGCTATACAAACTTCAGTCACAAGACTTTCGTTTTTGAGGAGGAAAGGCCTCTGTGGTGTGTGGCTGGCAACAGCAGCTTTCTGACACCTACAAGAAGGTTATCAGGAAGGTCCCAGCTGGATATAAGGAACAAGTTCTGCCCCGCAAGGACAGTTAAGCAGTGAGACTGATTACCCAGAGAAGTTGGGCAGTCTCCCTAGCCATTTCCAAGACAATAGAGTCACTTTGTGAAGAAATTCAGAAAGTAAACTGAAATAAATATTTTGCCATAAGAACAAAAAATAATTTGGAAATTAAAATGTATCTACCTTGTTTTTCAGTGTATACATAAAAGGTGTCAACAAACATTGAACATTTGAGATGCTGTTCCCAAATAGCAGAGAAAAATACTTCAAGGACTAGAACATAGAAGTTCAGCTTGTCCTTATGAATAAGGGAGTCTCTCCTTATGAGGTGAGACAGGAATCTCAGAAAAAAAAAATGGTTAGAGAAAGAATAAAAATAATTTGTGCAGGGGAGGAAAAAAGACAGGCTACCATAATTGCAAAATATTTTACTTATTGCAAACAAAAGCTGTGATAATAACATTGCACAACACCAAATTTTAAGACTTTTAAATTCCCTGGAATTATTTTTCACTGTGATTTTTGTTCCACATATTTTTATATTTATATTATATTTATATTTTACATTATGACAAGAGTAAATTAGTTACAGAAGTTGAGACAAATCAGATATAACCTGCCAGCTGAGTGATCTTTCATTTCCATATCACAGAGAGCAATCACTTAACGGTTACCGCCAGTCTGAAAGTTTGTACCAGATTCAGTGATTGGCTAACCATGCAACAAAATGCTACTGTCTGAACCCAAAACATCTTTTCTGAACAATTAGAAGTGCACGGGAAACCACGATAAATGTGCTGTTAGCATATTCCACAGAACGTAGGTAGGGAATAACAAATTTCATTACTTCACTAGAACAACCATTTCTGTCTTTATAGAAGGCTCCCAGGTAAAAGGCAGACAAATAAATAATTCCAGCATTTTTAGATCCAATGCTGAATAGCCTGGAGGGCGGTAGTGAAAGTCCTGAGTGCAGGATGAGTCCCTCTGTGAGACATCAGGAGGGACCCTGCCTCCGCACGGAACCCGGCTTCCTTCAGCTGCTTTGCTATTTCCTCGACTTCGCAGCCTCCTCCGTCCTCTTTAGCCAGCAGGTGTTCAATAAGGTGAGGATAGAAAGCCGTGGACACGCACTCCACCACCAACTTTGCCTTGAGGAGCAAGGAAAGTATTTCAGCGTCACAGTTGGAATCATCAACCTACGAAGAAAAAAAATCACAGTAATTAAAAATAAGTTACCCAATACATCCCTCAAAGAGAATGTATCGTGACTGCTGTAACTGCCCAACCTTGAAAACGAGATGACACAACACGGTGTTCTGAGTGGATTATGAACAGGAATGCACACCTTGCATACTTCAAAATATTTAAAGGTATTTCTTTAACATGCTGTACTATATCAATATAAAACTTGGCTTGCATATGTTACTTCACACTAAGGAATAAGGATATCTTCAGATTACATGACAAGCTTTACAGATTTTTGACAGGTTCTCAGCACTCTGTGTAGATGGTCAACACCTTTAACTTCATATGAAGAAGGACCCCAAGCTAGGTCAGAACAAAAGAAATTAGATTTTAGATATTTTATTGATAAGATACATTGCATTGCATGTAGAAAACATTCTCAGACTCAAAAAGCTTTTCTAAAGTTCTGGCACTCACAACAAAGATCAAATTTTACACATTATGCAGTTTATTTTAAAAAGACTTGGAGCAAATCTCTCCTAGCCTCCTTAATATGCAGGGCTGTTTTAATCAGTGTTGTACCAGTTCAAGTGCAACAAAACAATGTCTCATAACAAAAGAGCCAAATGAGTGGCAGATGATGAGCATTTTTCTAAGACTGCATACACATCCCATCAAATAAAAATACACTAATCAAATGACTGTATCTATAGTATTTTTCACTTAAAAAAAAATCTCCATTTTTTTTTTTCCTAAAGCATTTGTGTTCTACCTTACAGCCATGGCTGATATCAGAGTATCAGTGAGTAAAAGCAATCCTATGATCCTCTGATTTGGTACCACTTTTTAAGATCTGTTCAGCTACCACTGCTGAGGAAGCAGAGGAGACTACTATGATGCACCAAGAGATTCAGCACTGACATTTGAACTTAAGACACTTTTGGTCTAATTAGCATAACAATTTATTTAATCCTGATTCTTTTTTACTAGCACATTGTAATCCCACAGAATTTTCACCACGATTTTTCAGAGTGAGATTAATAATACTAATTTATGGCTTATTTATTTATTTTAAGTATCTATTCTTCCAGGAAGCTTAAACTTAACTATGAACCAGAAAACCAAATTTGATAAAAATTCCAAAGGTGTGTACGGTGAGAGACCATGCACACCAATTAACTTTGGCCATCAAAGTACAAATCAGAACAAGTACATAACTTTCTCTTGAATGCACATCATGATAAGACTCTAAACTTTGGCACCTAACTTGGAGGAATCAATACTCCATTTGTATGTAGAGGAACATAGAGAGTTTGTAGGAAACTATTAGCTAGCTCCATTGAAATCAATGAGAAATCTGCCACAGACTTCAAAAGAAGCACTTCCTTTGAAGCTACCACAAATTCTTTTAGAAGAAAAGCATTTATTGTATCTAAATACTTTAGATTAAGGAATGATAATGAAGTTTCTCTTCTATTAAAGAGCTGAAAAGTCAGGACGATGACAGAAAGGATGCATGTGATAAGCCAAGGAAATTGAATAATTTTTTAACTTATATTTTGGAAGAGATGCACTCTTTATAATATTTAATTAAATCAGGAAAGAGACAAAACATAAAATATTGCAGCATGAAAAGCTGCTATATTTCATCAAGAAAAATCCATATACAAAAGATTCCAGGTGTAGCTATTCTCCAATTAACCAATCTAACCCAAATTTACCATCCATAACACATGATTATGACTTTCTATTTACTATTTTCACTTCCTTTGGAATTTCAGGAGTCCTCCAGAAAACAAACAAACAAAAACCATTGATTTATGAGATTGCAAAGAGATTGCAGTTTTATCTTATTTTATCCTATTTCTCCCATTATTTCCTTTAGGTATTTGTTTTTCTCTTCTTTCCACTGAAATCTTAAAGATAATTTTGATTTCCCCAAGTCTTCAGCATTTTCATAAAAATAGCTACACAGAAGATTTTCATGCTAATGCAATAATGCACAGTGGCTCTAGTACCAGTTTACAGAACAGAGCCCAGAATGGTAGGGGTGCCCACTTTAAGTTGCCTACTCTTTAAATTCTTAGTTACTAACCAATACTCTAATTTTCCACATGTCAACTATTGGCATATTTGCCTGCTGAAGGCGGACTGATTAATTAAAATTACTCATGTTGGCATCATAGAGCATACCATCCAGGACCCTAAGCCATTCTGCAGCCAGCTCTGCTCTTTTCCTGAGGTGGAAGACTGCAGGGATGTTCCGCCCTACCTCTGAGCTCCACATGCTCTATCCTTGCCCTGGGTGGAGGACACCTCATACTTAAGCTCGGCAGGCTTTTATTTTATGGGGAGAAAACAAACAAACAAAAAACAGTAATTACGACAATGAGATTAACAACAGGATGTGACATTTGTTTTAAGTTAGTTTTTAGGCCAAGAAAATTCAGCCAACAAAAACACTATAGATTAATGACATTTCATACACCAAAAATCTAGAAACCGAAGACAGACAAGTCTGAAGGTAGAATATCTTTATCTTGTGTGCAAGACAGCAAATCATTTAGACATCCAGTATGTAGATGCCAGTGTGTAACACAGAAGCATAACAACCTATATACACGCACAAACAAGATGACTGTGTCACTATGCATATGCACAAGGGCAAATAAAAGGCTCTTGGTTGTGCCTGACACCTCATACTTAAGCTCAAATAGTACAGTAGATTAAACTGATTCACAACAGTTTTCATTTTCTGACTTCAAGGTGGTCACAAGATCTGGTGAGAAGGATGAAACCTGTCATGATTTTTTTTCTCCAGGTGACTCCAGGAGACAGAAGGAAGCAACAAGATCTGGTGGACACATTTCATGAGGTGAAGAACACTACTGCTGAAATGCCTTGGAAGCCTTAGTGGAGTCTTATGGATGTGGCACAGAGAAGTCAGTACTTGATGAGAAATTTGCACAAAAAGTCAGCTAAGGAAGCTAGAATATCTGCTTGTTTTTAGCAATTTTGCAACTCCACATCATGCCAGGATGTTATCAGGTATATACGAAACATAGTCCACTTAAAAAAAAAAAAAAGTTCACGAATTACTTACTTGCTAATTTACAAATTTAAAGATACTTTATATGCTGAGTAGAAAAGTTTGGATAAAATTATAAAAGATTAAAAAATAAATCAATTTAAACGTATTTTAAGGCTAGGTAAATTTACAATTAATTTTAAATTAGAACAATCAACATTAAAGCAAAAACTTGGTAAAGCAATTTAACGCAGACACCAATAGCATATATCTAAAAGTCTAAGGCTCTCCAATCTAGAGAAGAGGCAGCTTGGGCTGTATACGAGAGATATCAGATAGTATGCAATGATTGATTATTATTTTTTTTTCCATAAAACAAGAAATATGAAGCATCAATTGAATCTATTAGGATCAGATTAAAGTAGAATTAGAGTAAATAACAGAAAACAGGTTTGGAGAAAATTGGACAAGATTGAGAAAGAAAACCACAGCGAGTTACTTAGTTCACACACACAGACAGTTAATATAACTGGAAGATGGAAGAGAAATTTGAAATGTTTTCCACTTTCCCAGTTTTTTCTCTTGTGTCCTTGTGTCTTTTCGCAAATTTTCATGAAGTTGTGAAAAGAGAGTTAAACGCTATTACGGTAATTACTGAAATCAACCTTATGGTCCCTCTTTTTAAAGAGCAGCTTCTTCTGGGCAGAGGGCAAAGGCATGTTCTTGTTCATGAGTCACTTTTACCCCCCTGCCTATGTGATGCCTTTACAGTCTCGAGATCCCGAGTCTTAAAGCGCTGGTTCCAGCAAAGCGGCTGCAGCTGGTCCCAGAGCAGCTTCCCAGTGGTGGGGCATGCAGCTGACTGCAGTTTAAGCAGCTTTCAAGAGTTGCAGGTATCTTCTGCACAGCCACTTTTTTTTTTCTTTCTTTCTTTTTTTTAATTTATTTATTTTTTAACATGTGAACATGTGAATAAACCACAAACCACAGTCGTGATGGGCTCAGAGCGGAAGAAAATTGTCGTGCCTGTCTGGCCTTTCACGCTGAGGATACTGAATTTGCCATTAGTGTAAAACCTGTTGCTGCTGGAAAGCTCCAACAGAAGAGGGTAAAAACATCTTTCCTTAACAGGGTTTAATGGCACATATATGTAGTATGGTGCCCATACACACAGTATGCATGGGAACAAAGGGAAGAAGTAATGGAGATACTTATGCTAAGAAGAGGTAACCTTGCTTTTTCTCTTTAATTTACATAACTGTTTAGGTAATAGTTAAAATTTACTGTTGAAGTCAGTGGAAATGCAGGCATTCATATGGTACCTCTGATGACTAACTCTTTAAATTTAGATTATGATGACTGATACCTATTCATGGTAAACATGTGCATATTCATCTGAAAAGTGAGAGATGCAGCATTGAAAGAGAATTGCAGCGGGTGCTCTCACCACTTCTGCTGAAGCAGAGCCACAGCACTAAGCTTCAGCAGGGTTTGTACACTTTATCAAAGGCCTCTTCAATGCAAACTTCATAAGTGGTTCTGCAGCTAGAGGTGAAAAACCACATCCTGCCAAGGTTCCCTGCAGCAGGTAAGGAAGTAGGGATCCCCTGGCACGCTGTCTCCATGAGCCTTAAATCCTTTCTGCATATGTTAAACAGGAAGCTCTGTACAATTACTGAGCTTTAAGGATCCTTGCCTGGGCCTTTGCCAGCAGCAGGCAGGCAGGTTTTACGAACTGTAAATGGGTTTAGACCCGAGGTATTCAGCTCTGCCCAGGCAGCAGCTCCCCTGAGCAAGCAGGGGCAGCAGAGTCTGCAAGATTTTTTTAAAAAAAGGTTAGATGAAAAACAGGTGAGTAAAGGTCAGCCCTGCCAAAGGGCAGCTCTTCTAATATACTCTGAAGTGGAGCTTTAGGCACCTAGGAAGCTTTAACGTTTAACTGACAGGACCTCCAAAATTTCCTGTGACCACGTGACCATGAAG